ACCCTAAATGAGAACAAGTTTTAGTAATGCCTTAACCAATTTTTCCTTTTATTTTCCTTCTTACATATATAATGTGTGATATGATTTTTGAAAAATCATGCCCAGCAGGTGTGGTGTCTCATGCCTGTAATCCTATCTACTCTGGAGGTGGAGATTGGAACTATCAATGGTTCAAGGCCTACCTAAGCAAAAAGTTAGTGAGGCCTCCCACTACATCTCAACCAACAAAAAGAAAAGGGTGGGCCTCTCATCCCAGCTACACAGGAAGCATAAGCAGGAGGATCACACCTCAGGCAAAACTGAAGACATCTGAAAAATAACCAAAGCAAAAAGGACTGGGATGTGACTCAAACAGCAGTGACTTAGCAAGTGCAAGGCCCTGAGTTCAAACCCCAGCACCGCGAAAAAAAAAAAAAGTGCATTACTTACTGTCTCCCTGCTAAGTATACATTCCATGAGGATAGGGATTTTCATCTGATGTCCTCCAAGCTCCAAAGACACTGCCTGGAACATAGTTAGTGGTCAATAAGTGTATGTTCAGTGAATGAATGAATGAGCGAGAGAGTGAGTGAAATCTTTCTAGGATGGGGAGACTGTTGCAAGTGCTCTGCATTTGTCATTTTGCTTTAACAAGAGACCTAAGGTCAGTGTCATCCACATTCCCAGTTAAGAAGCCAATGTACGTAAAGGTCTGATCCCTGCCCAAAGCCACACAGCTTGAAGCTGGGGGAGGAAAGATTCAAGGCCAATTTGGTTCTGGAGACTGTATTGTTGCCCACTACACTTGGCTGGTTCTAATACCGCCTGTCTCTGTGGCCTCTGGAAACTCCTTTTCCAGGTTCACTTGTATTTGGTGCATGGCTCTATCATTGCTCTGCCTGTGCCCCTGCTCTGGAGAGCCTCTCCAGGGCAACACCTGTGAGAATCAAATAAAGTCAGGTCTTTCCTGTCAAAGGGTTAATGTATAGTGTATTCATTGTACAGATGTCAGCTTAACTTCCCTGAATTATTGCCTGTGTGCCTTGTGAGACGTCACTTAACCCTGCAAATTCCTAAGAACAAAACTCTGTCCTTAGCTGAACAAGTTCCTGTTATCGCCAGGTGCCCTAGTTTCAAAAACTGCTTCCTTAAGGCAGCTATTATTCAAGTAAATCTTTGCTCTCCCTGGCCCCACGTGCCCCTTTTCACATTAACCAATCATGAAGATTGTGACCCAAAACACACTCAATCAGGGTGTTAGAGAGAAAATCTGAGTGGACTTCCCGGCCAGTGTGCTTGCTAACCAGGCTCTTGATCTGCAGCACACCTTCTGCAGAAGTAAATTTTGCCTTGCCTATTGACTTCTAAGTTGTGTTGTCTCTCTTGTGACACCCCAATATCCCGAATTCATTTCTCACACACCTACCCTTATGCATAAGTCTTTTATTTTGAGATAGTTTTATTTATTTATTTTTGCTTTAAAGCTCTTTTTCATCTTTTTTGAAGTTATTGTTGTATTGGGGGTACATTGTGACATTTACAGAAGTTCTTACATTGTATTATATTTAAATTTACCCACTCCATCATTCTCCTTTACGCATAAATCTTTATCCCCAAGCCCTTGCACAATGTCTGTAAAACAAAGTGGCTCTGTGAGAACAAAGTGGGTACCTGAAAGACTATTGGAAGGGTTCTAACTGGCAAAGGATCTGTGGCAGAACTGACTGAAAAGAGCAATTTAAAAAGAGCAGCTGGTGGGGAGGGGAAATACTGAGTCCAGGTTTAAACTCACTGGAGTGACACAGAGACAAACAGAGATGACTACTAGGGACATGGGAAAAGAGAACAGAATCAGTTTATTTTGGAGATCAAAAGCAAGTCTTGCTTTTTTTTTCTTGGTGGCACATGCTTACAAAGCAGGCACTCTATGGCTTGAGTCACACCTCTGGTCCATTTTACTCTGGTTATTTTGGAGATGGGTACCTATTTTGCCCAGGCTGGCCTCAAACTGCAATCCTCCAGATCTCAACCTCCTAAGTAGGTAGTACAGGAGTGAGCCACCAGTGCCCAGCTTGCATGTCTCTCTGATAGAAGTGCTAACTGAAGCTGTGTGTATTATCAACTCACCAAGGAAAAGAGAGAGAGAAGGAGAGGGGGAGGGAGGGAAGAAAGAAGGAGGGAGGAAGCGAAGGAGAGAGAGGGAGACAGGGAGAGAGAGGGAGGGAGGGAGGGGGAAGGTTAGACAGCATCTTGGAACACACCTGGAGGACTGAGAGGAAGAAGCAGGGACAGAGATCCTCAAAAGTTCAAACAGCTCTGCAGCAACAATGAAGTCAAGAGTCTTCCTCCAGCTCATGTCCCCAAGTAGGTGGCTGTGATAACTGCTGTGTAAAACAGTACAGTTTATAAATAAAAAGTCTGTGGGCAGCCACAGAAAAACAACTGTTCGTTTTCAGTGCAACTGGGTCTGCCTGAACCTTTTCTCTGAGCTCTGGGACCTATGTGGTTCAGATTGGAGAACTCCCACACAGTTTCTTCAGGAAAGCAGCAGTCAGCACAGCACGTCCTCCCCTCCTTCACCCTGACTTCTCTTTGTCACCTCTCTACTTCAAACACAGGTTGCAAGACTACATCCTTTCCTTGTGCCCAACTGACACGTTGGAAATTGTCTTATGGCACCCACATTCTTTTATTGGTCATTCATGGTCTTCAACATTTTATAGGGTGAACTGAACATGGCCTTTGCTATTATCTTGCATTTTTTTCTTATCAAAACACCTCAAAATTCCTCTCTTCTGGTTGTTTTTGCTGTTGGTAAAACCAGTGATCCCAAGTGGCAAACCACAGATCTCCTGGGAGTAATCTGGGGAAACCTATTGCATTAAACCTCCCTGGCAGTATTTTTCCTGTCTGTACCTTAGGCCTACCGCAGGCAGCAGGAACTGTTTAGCTTCCCAAGGAGCATTCACACCATACTGACTTTTGACCTTGAAAAGCACATAAGATGCTAAGTTCATTTAAAAATTTAGTAATATTGCTATAAATGTTCCATATGACCATTATTCTTACCGTAAGTCAATCAGTTCTACTAAAGACCTTTCTCAAGCCAATTACTATTTGTTTAAAAGCTATGATATACGTTGAAATAGAAAAATCAATAAAACAGGCATACATCTTAAAGACTAATTTTAAAGCAAACATTCAGGTCCAGAAATCTAATGCTGGGAACACCCAGAGCCCCCATGTGACCCTCCTGGTCACAGCTCTTTTTGCTCAACAAAGTTGTGATAATTCTTTCTTTGCTTCTCTGTAGTTTTACATGTGTATTCAAAACACTGTGTTGAATTTTGTGTTTCTGAACTTTACGTAAGGGTAAAACAGTGTCCATTCTTTGGTTGACTTACTTCTTCCATTCAATGTTGTGACCATCATGCTATTGAAAAGGATGACGGTTTGTTTCTTTTTGCTGCTGTATTATGTTTCACAGCATGGCTAAGTATAATTTATCAATTCAATTATTGATGGAAATTTGGGTCGTATGTTGGTTTTATCTATTACAAACACACAGTACTTTTGTCAGCTTAAACTCCAAGTGCATGGGATTCTCCTTGCTAAAACTTGCTACTGTCAGACTTTTAGTCTTCAGTCCAGTGGTTGTCTAACAGTAATAGACAGGGTGTCTAACTGCATTGTGATTTCCATGGTCATTTTTGCAGTGACTAAGGATGCTGGATTTTCATATATTGCTCATCTGCATCTGCTCTTCAGTGCTGTGTCTCTTTAAGGCTTTTCCTCTTTTTAAATGAGATTTTTGGGCTGGGAGTGTAGTTCAAGTGATAGAGTACCTGTTAGCAAGTGCAAGGACCTGAGTTCAGACCCCAGAGCTACAAAATTAATAAAGTTTTCTTATATTTATTGATTTGTTGGCTTTTAACATATTCTGGGTACTAATTCTTTTTCTGTATGTGAAAACTTCTTTCACATTGTGATTGTTCTTTTGACTCAATTTATGGTGTTGGTTTGGTAAGCAAGTCATTAATTTGTGTGTCAGGGTCTTGCACTTGCTAGGCAGGCACTCTACCAACAAGTCAATAATTTTTACATAATTGAATGTATTGGTCATTTCCTTTATGGCTAAAAAACCATTTTTCAACCCCCCATCATGAAGATATTTTCTCATACATGTCCTCAAAAGTTATCGAAGATTCTTGGCCAGGAATATTTGGAATACAGATGTTGTTGGGATATTGGGAAGATGCCAAGGCACATACTATGTGCTGCCTAACTTTCTCAACAAGAACTGAAGCAACAACCTCCATGGCTAATCTTGACTGCCCAAACTAGATTAAGAAATGTCTAAATGGGCACTGGTGGCACACCTGTAATCCTAGCTACTCAGGAGGTAGAAATCAAGAGGATCATAGTTCGAAGCCAGACCAGGCAAATAGTGCTGAGAGACCCTATCTTGAGAAAACCACACACACACACACACACGGGCAAGCACACATGCACACACGTGAAAAAAGGGCTGGTGGAGTCGCTCAAGGTGTAGGCCCTGAATTCAAACCCCAGTACTGCAACAACAAAAAATGCCTAGATTAGTGAAGCCCACCTCTGGGTGTGTCTGATGGCATTTCCAGAGACCATTATTAGTACATGAGGGTTCCGACCTAATGAATGGATCAATTCCTGAATGGATTCATAACTTGAGAGTATTATTGGGAGGTGGGGAAAAGTAGGAGGTGGGGCCTTTGGTGGAAGCAGGTCACTGGGGACAAGCCCCCGTGGACTTATTTTGCCCTGGCCCCTATTCTTTTCTCTGCTTCCTGTGAGCAAGGGCGACTCTGCTGAGAGGGGAACTCAAACATTAAACAATGGCACCCTGGAGCTGGTGGAGTGGCTCAAGTAGTTGAGGGACTGCTCTAGTAAGCGGGAAGCCCAGAGTTCAAATCCCAGTACTGTTAAGACTGAACAGACACGGAGAGATAGGCGAGGAGTCAGCAGCAGAGGCTTTATTCGGGAAAGGGAGCCGGGGGCTGTCTCCAGCAGAGGTCAGTGCCCACTGCGCTTACAGCCTGAGGGTAGAGAAAGGGGAGCTGGTGGAAAAGTACCAAGAAGGTCACTGGCTGGGAAAAGTTTCTGGTGGGTCGCTGGGCAAATAAGGAAGATAAGCCGTGGGTAGGTCACTCCGCTGCTCAACTGTCCTTGGTCGCTGCTGGTGGCGGTGGGGGTTATTCCAGTAAGCCACCTGGGAGGGGGAGGGGGTCTGCCCTTATGTTCGCCCTGACCAATACCTCCAGAAAAAAGAAAAGGCACCCCCCTCACAGCACTGGACAAAGCTCTTTTCATCCCTTATTAAGACACCCTGGGAGCCCAGTGTGATCCCAGCACACGGGAGACTGAGGCAGGAGGATCGGGAGTTGGAGGCCGGCCTGCGCTACACTGCGAGACCCTGTCTCAAAAATAAACACGCAAACAGCAAAGTAAAAATGAGAAAGAAATGAAAGATTCCTTGGCTTGGGGGAATAAAAAAGCCACAAGTGGGATTGCAACATCACAAGTCCCAAGCCGCTGACGGCGCGCACTTCCGGGGTTCTCCGCTGGGCGTCCCACCTCTGTCCGGCCGCGTCCTCTCCTTCCTCCCTGGAATCTACTAAGGGGCGTCGCGACGGCCTTCGTATCCTCCACGTGGAGCCCAAGGCCGCCACAGTCACCGCCATCAAGCACCGTTCACGCCCACCGTCACCATCACACCCAGCGCCGCCGACCACGCCCGCGCAAGCCGGAAGTCACCCGGACAAGTAAAGAAAAGGACCGGATGTTCCGTCTTTCCCTCACGGAAAAAAAGGTGGCCCGAAGGGTCAATTTAGGGCTGGCCATTTTACCGCGTGAATCGCCTTGTGAGGTCAGTGCCCGGAATCAACGAGGCTGAACACGGTACCGCACCCTCCGGCGCGGGTTGCTGGGCTGTAAGACCCAAGAGGCCAAGGACGGCGTGTATAGGTGCTCGCCGGCGGCGGCACGCACGGAAGGGGCGGGGCCCGTGTCGCCGGGCGTGCGTAGAGGGGCGGGGCCTGTGTCGCCGGCGGCGGCACGCACGGAAGGGGCGGGGCCCGCGTCGCCGGGCGTGCGTAGAGGGGCGGGGCCTGCGCGACGGCGTAGGTGAGCAGAGAGCAGTGGCGGCTCTCGCTCCACGCCGCGCTTGCTGGGCTCGTGGACCCTGCAGCGAGAAGGGGATGGCAGCCTTTTCCTTCCTTCTCTCCACGTTGCAGGCCCGTCGTTGAATGTCATTGGGACCCCCAGCAGGAATGGCAGCCCCGTCCATGAAGGAAAGGCAGGCTTGCTGGGGAGCCCGCGACCTTTACTGGCAGTGTCTGGACGAAAACGCCGAGGACGCGTCCCGGTGCCAGCAACTGAGGAGCTCCTTCGAGTCGAGCTGTCCCCAGCAGTGGGTGAGTCACATTGGGCGTCCTCTGTGAAGGGGCATCGGGCTCACCGTAGGCAGGGTGGGGGACAAGGTCATCGAAGAGGTCAAGGACGGTCAGGCCACGCATTCGGAGGATCCGCACGTGAATCTGAAGTCACGGGAGAGGTGAGATCTGAGCATTGCTGGGGAAAGGACAGTTCGCTCTGAAGTCGTAGAGGACTCGAAAAGGGGACACGGGTGGTCACCACAGTGCTCTGACTGCTGTGGCCCTTGACAGCCTGGCGCCTCTCCATCACTGCTGTTGTCCCCCGCAGTCCTGTGCCCACCTCGCCGGCTGCCCCCTCCAGTACCCGTTCTCTGCTCCTGTTGGCAAGTGCTACCTTGTCCAAGCCTTGCCCAGCTGCCACACAGTGAGAGTGAACAGTTTTTCCAAAGAGCTGTGTCTGAGGGGTAAGGGAGGGTTGGGGAGCATGGTGTGGGATGCTTGGTGTCACTCGTAGTTTCCATTTGGTCTTGGGAGGCCCCGTGTATTCCAGATTTACAGTAGGATCAGAAAGGAGAAATCACTGTCCAAGAGGAGCCCTGCGGTAAAGAAGTGGAGAGGGGGTTTGAATGGAGGTGTCTGTGATCCCCACGTCTGTGTCTTTACGTAGCAGTACAGCAATCCAAGTGAGAAGGGATGGGGTCTGTGCTGGACAGTGCAGGGCAAGGACAGCCAGGTGTCCGGGTGACAGGGATACAGTCGCTGAAGCCAGTTTGAGAGAAGGAGAAACCCACATGGAGAAGGGCGATTTCTGGCCAGGGATACAGTCGCTGAAGCCAGTTTGAGAGAAGGAGAAACCCACATGGAGAAGGGCGATTTCTGGCCAGGTTGGGACTGCAGTGTCAGAAGAATCTATAAATGGAGCTGTCTGCTAGCTGGAGGTGTGACAGGAGATTGTGAGGACATCTTGTGCATCTTCACTTGGTACCCTTTGCACGACATCCATCCTAGCCCAGTCACCCAGGACCACTGGAGACTGACCGTGAAATTTGTGGATATGTTATGACCAGGGAGATCACACACCAGAGGGTCAGAGGGCCTCTCACCAAACCAAGGAGAGTGTTAGAGGACTCAGGAAGGATGGGCTTGGGTAAATTATAAATGAAACAATATTTTGACAGCCTCAGAGCAAAGCAATGCTGTGTAGAAACAGGTCCTCACCTGGACTGAGAAGTGGTTCCGAGTCCTATGTGCAACTAAGTTTAAGATTGAATTTCATGTTCAGAAATCCCATCCTTGAAGTCCTGTGCTGGGGTCGGAGATCAGGCTGCCACTCTGGGATGGCACCATAGGTCCTTTGAGCATTGGAATGTTTCAGTCTTACTGATGACACTTCCAAGAGCAAACTTCTGGTGCTCTGCTGTCTGTGAATAAAGCAGAAGTGAAGGGGTTAGTCAGGACAGGCGAGGGCAGCATGTCCTGGGGAGAGGTGTTCAAATTCCATGTGTAATAAATAAGAAGGATATAAGTAAAAATCAAACCAAGTCTTTGACATATTGAAGTTTTACATCACGTTCTGCTCCTGTCACAATTTGTAAGTATTTTTAGTGTGCACAGTGAGTTCACTTTATTTGCACCTTTATTACCTGCAGTCTTTTTTTTGTATGTAAATAGCACACTTATTCATCAATACACATTTGGATTGCTTCCACCATTTGACTATTGTGGATAACGATACTTTGAACATGAACTTACAAATTCAAGTCCTTGCTCTCTGTTCTTTGAACATACATTTTTTACTTGCAGTCTTGATCAGATGTTGTAAAAAACAATAGATAAAAATATCAAAAAAAGTTTCAACAGCAAATTTTAAATTCCTATGTGCACATTACATGGGTGACACTGGAAGCTTGTTCCTGTGTTATCTGTCAGTCTCACTTGAATCGCCATGTGAGCTGAGTGTTACTTGTACTTAATTTTATCAAAGTCTTCTTCCCAAAAAGTAAATGGTGCCCAAAAAGCAAGTAAAAGTTAGTGGTGATTAGTGCCAAAATGCACTAATGTAAGCGATAAAGTGAAAGCTTTAGCGGAAGTTGGGTGGCATGATGGGAAAAGTGCATAAAGCATCGCAGCATTCGAGGTGAAGAGCGTGGAATGAGCTCTAGCTCCTGTGTGCAGTATTAATGTGCACAACAGTCATTTTGTGACAGTAACGTCGCTTCGTGCAGCTTCAGACCTACCGTACACTCGGTAAATCGCTCTAGGTTATTAAGCTCTGCATCCGGGCATTGGTGGATTTTCCTCAGCGGCGGTCCCCTTGGAACCCTGCACCTGTGGACCCCAAGGGTCCGTTCATCTGTCTCCGTCAATGTGTTTCTGTGATAGACGTGATAGAAGTGTCATGGCTGATAAATTATAAGACATACCAAACTTACACGAACAACAGCCCAGTCTGAGTCTAAAACTCCTGTCCCCTCCCAGTGCTCCGGGGACTCTGCTTCAGACAGGCCCACAGCGCAGGTCCATTCCTGAGAAGGTTCCTGCAGGGTCTGTAGCCTGAGCAGGCCAGCGCTCCCAGGTCCACATGCTTTCAGCTCATTCTTTAGATCCCTGCCTCGGTGGCTCCAGAATATAAATCTCCTCTGTCTTGTTCACGTGGTGTAATTTGTTATGTTTCAATCTGTGCTTTTGCTTATCTAAGCTGCATAGCTTGCCCTGATGTCAAGCCCTCTTGTTTTGACAGATAAAGTATTTCGATAAAAGAAGAGACTATTTAAAATTCAAGGAAAAAATTTGAAGCAGGACAATTCCAGTCTTCGAGATCAACGGCGAATTCCTAGGCTGCTTCCAACCTTTTCACACAGGTTGAAATGCTTCTTTCTGGACATTCAGAGGTGCTTAGCTGGTTCTGGGACAGCGGCTGTGTGAGTCATGGGTCACATTGATGCTGCTCCCGTGAGCAGCACTGGTAAAATGACCAAGGAAGAGAGGAGCCCACATTCACACTGTGAAGAACCCAATATACTTGTATTCAACAGCTTTAAGAAATCTGTTTTAAGAAAAAAAGAAAATTAAAGCCTATTATAAAAACACATTTCCATTTTCTTTTACTTTTGGAGAAGCTGAGTAGGAGGCAAATATTTGCAGTTGATACATTATAGGTTAGAAACTAGGTTGTCACATGTGTTCCTTGGTGTTAGATCTTAATACAGGAAGTATGAAGTGAGGATGGAAGAAGGGTGAACTTAAAATATGCAGGTAAAGTTAATAAAACCTGTATTGAAAAAGCCAACAGCTAATACCATGCTAAACAATAAGAATGACTGGATTCCTTCCTGGTTTAGAGAGACAAAAAAAAAAAACCAAAAAAACAAGACGTATATAAATTGGGAAGGAAGAAACAAAACTGGCTGTGTTCAGAGAGATGACTAACACTAAGAAAATACCAAGGAATGGCTGAGCCCCAGGCCTCACGCCTGTAATCCCACCTACTTGGGAGGCAGAGGTCTGGAGGATTGTGGTTTGAAGCCAGCTAGGAGATAAATTAGCAAGATTCCATTTCAACTAACAAGCTGGGTATGGTGACTCATGCCTGTAATCCTAGCTACACAGGAGGCATAAATAGGAGGATGGAGGCCCATATTGACCCAGGCAAAAACTTCAAGACCTTATCTGAAAAATAACTAAAGCAAAAAAGGGGCAAGGGCATGACTCAAGTAATAGAGCACTTGCTATGCAACCACAAGGTCCTGAGTTCAAATCCCAGTATCAACCCCCCAAAAAATCCCAGATAGGCAAAAAGATAAATTGTAGACTTGGAGACAATCTTTGCAAACCACATGGAAGAACCTGTGCCAGAACAAAGAGCTCTTATAGTTCTTAAAACAAATAACCCTCTTCAAAAAGTAGGCAACTTATGCAAACACTATTTCTTTTTTTTTGACAGTGCCAGGGTTTGAACTCAGGGCCTTGCACTTTCTAGGCAGGTGCTCCGCCACTTGAGCCACACTCCCAGCCCAATAGGTACTGCTTAAAAGAGGATATACAATGGAAAAGAAGGATCTAAAAAATCCCACATACTAAAGATTAGAATACTGGAAAGGAATACCACAGTGCTGTCACCACAGCCGTACTGGAATAGCTTAAATTAAAAGGCAATACCAAGTACTAACAAGGACTCAGAGCAACAGTCACCCTTGTCCACTGTGGTGGGATGCAAGCAGAGGCTTCCATACTTAAACACAAGACCTTGTGGTTCAGCAACCCCACTCCTCGATATTTCAGCCAATGAACTGAAAACAAAACCTGCACATGAATGTTCATTGGAAGTCACAGCCTGCAGCAGAGGAATGGGAACTCACACTTTCATACAATGCACTGGCACTCAGCAGGACAGACAGCACTTCCAACTCATGCAGCAACCTGGATGAACCCTGAATGTGTTGTGCTTTGTGAAGAAGACAGGCCCAAAAGGCTGCACGTATGGTCCTTTGACACAACTCTGGAAAAGAAAGGCAAAATGGTGGTATAGAAAACACGTCAATGGCCAGGCACCAATGCTGCACAGCTGTAATCCCAGCTACTTGGGAGGCTGAGATCAGGAGGATTGCAGTTTGAGGTCAGCCCAGGCAAATAGTTCTCGAGACCCTATCTCCAAAACAGCCAGAGCAAAATGGTTTGGAGGTGTGGCTCAAGTGGTAGAATGACTGCTTTGTAAGTCCTGAGTTCAAACCCCAGTCCTGATGAGGAGGGGAGCACAAAACATTGGTGGTTGCCAGTGGTAGGGGACAGAGGAAGAGGTTTGCTGTGAAGGGGTTACCCAAAGGAATTTTTAGGGTGGTGAAAGTGTTCTCTGTGCTCTGTGGTAGTGGACCTATTGTCACTTGTCCAAAATCCAGACTGTCTGCTTTGTGTGCACATTAAAATAAAATCAACCAGCATGCTGGTGGGGGATTCTGATGTGGAATGCAGGTGGGTAAATGAACCTGGCGATGTCTGACCTAATCTCACTGGAAGAAGTGGCTAAGAAAGGGACTGATTAGTAGAACTTAAAAGATTGGACAGGATACTGTAGGGCTAAAGAAAAACTATGCAAGTTGCTGAATTTCACAGGCTTAGCAATTCCAGGACTGCGTGTGTAGTGGAGTTAACAGGTGAGTAAATGAGTAACAGGAGCTGGTTTTAGGTTGAAAAAAGCAATTGAAAATAAGCATGGAGGTTGTTAGAATGATTCTGTGGTGCTGGACTGGGGTATCCAACCCTGGATATCCATCAGAACTCATGTTTATTTAGACATTGGCAGGCAACACGTGTAACAAGACACACATGGGCCGTTGGCAGACGTGAGGAACCCGCTCATTGTGCAGTGCCAAAAAGTAGGTCCTGGAAATAAAGCAACAGGACAATGTGCAAAGGTTGCTGCCATCTGTGCACACCGAGGTAAGGTGACATGTAGAGGGGAAGGAGGGAAGCAGAGAACGTGACCGTTAGCACAGGCACCGTGGTAGGAGCTGAGGAGGCACTGCCGCTGGTGCAGGCCGAAATCGGCGGGTGAAAGTGAGGCAGCACGTGTGCATGGCCTCCGAGCATCTCCCCCACTCCCTAGGCACTGTGGTGCTAATAGGCAACCCAAATTCCTTGACATCCTCCCCTACAAGAGGGAGCTTGCTTTCCCGGGGCTGGGCTGAGTGACACACTCAACAATCCATGAGAAGGGAGAAACGGCAGAGGCTGTCTTCACCCACTGATGGAGGCAGTGAGCCCAGGTGACACCGCCCACCGCCCACCACGATGTGAGAAGCCCTGCCCCACTGCCAAGGTCTTCCTTAAAACCCCAAGCCTCATTCTGAGAACACAGCAAACCCAGACTAGAGCGTCTACAAAATACCTGGCCAGAACTCGTCCCAAGTGTTGTGGGAGGGGACGAGAGGGCAGCGGGGTGAATACCGACAAAGGACCGTAAGTCCATGCGTGAAAAGATCACGACAAAGCCCATGAGAAAGTACAAACGAAGTGTCCACGCATGCAGGACAAGGGAAGACTGTATCTGAGGGAGGTGAAGGAGGCTAAGGGGACATGTGACTGAATGCCATATGGTGTCCAGCCCTGGACTGGCTCCTGAGACAAAGAAAGGACATCGGAGGAAACGGGAACTGAGCAAAGCCTGTATTTTATATACAGTGAGTAGTGAATGGCACCATTATCTGTCAATTTCCTAATTTCAATAAATGTCCATCGGTCATGCAAGGTCCATTAGAGGCATCTGAATGAAGTGGGTATACAGAAACTTACTTTTGCAACCCTTCTGTAAAACAAAAATTATTTCAAAATAAAACCCCAGGAGAAAAAATAAATGTGTAATGGACTCAGAGTTTTGGATATTACTAAAGGGGGCCAGGATAACTGAAGTCCGTTGTTGGATGGGGACATACGGGCTGCTATGAAATAATGAAGTAATCTAAGTATCAGACCAAAAAATCAAACGACGAGCAAGCAGAGCAGCACTCGCGGGTTCTCGTGTCAGTGTGTGTACGAGAGTAATGCATCCTCACGTTACGGGGAGCTGGCCAGCACCTTACCAGGCATTTTCTGAGTAGGAATTCAAGGCTCAGCGCTCAGGAAGCTGGACCACCTCCTTCAGAACCCTCCCTCTGCCTCATCTGCTTCCTAAGGCAGGGTAGAGGTGCTCCAGGTAAATGCTGCTTTAATTCTGCCATGCTTGGAGCACAGTCCAGGCTCCTGGCAATGCTAGCCTCTGGGAAGGACGTTATCTTTTAAAATTACGAGGCTCTATTTCCACAATTGCTTAAAATATTTTATTAAAGAAGCAATACAGTTTAGCTAAAAGGTTACCCAAGGGGCCATATACAGTGATATATTTAAGGCACACAAAAAGGTTTGGGCACTAAATCACAGAAGATCGAGCGCAGGTCACCCCGGCACCTCTGAGCTCCTGGGGGAGGCCAGGCACTCAGGGTGCGGGGTCGCCCGCTGACGCAGCTGCTGCCGGGTGTACTCCCAGATGAGCAGGGCCCCACTCACATGGACATTCAGCGAGCGGATCACACCCTGCTGCGGGATCTCCACACACACGTCCAGCTGCTGGATGAGGCTCGCTGGAATCCCTTCCCGCTCGTTTCTGAGGAAGAACGGAGAGATGCGTTACCCTCCCCGTGATGAAGGCAAGCGTCTTTCTCAGGTATTCCGCGTGTTACTGACGGGTTAACAACTCCAGCAACTGTGGCTCCAGGAAATACACAAGAGGGTAACCAAGATTTACAGGCTGCTCTGTGTTCACCTGACCACCCAGGCCAGGTGAAATTTAAAAAGCAAACAGGTTTCCCAGACCTTAGCAGCCAAAAGGAAACTGCAGTATGACAACAGGAGTGTGGGTAAGTCGTAGTGCAGGTGACATCTGCCCTGGGCTCAGGGCATCCACTCACCCCAGCAGGAGCAGAGACTTCTCGGGAAAGCAGAAGTGTGCCAGGCTGGAGCTCCGGGCCGTCTGCTCCACGCCGATGATGGTGTAGCCTTCGGCCTTCTTCTGCTGCAGGTAGTGGGTGAGCTGAGCTGGTTTCACCTTAACGTTGGTTTAAAAAGAGCGGAACAGTAAGTCACCCGGTGTCAGCCCAGCCTGGGTAAAATGAGGGTTAAGATCAAAAAGCTTAATAAACTAAGCTTGTTACCCTTTTTGTTAAAAGGAAAACAACAGAACTAAACGTTATCCAGAACTCCCTAACATCATGTAAGTTCACAAGCGTCGGTCCTAAACCAAGAGTGGGCTGCAAGGAAACCCACTTTACTGCACAGAAGGCTGCAGCACTGACAGCTTCTAAAACAAAGGTGAGATTATGACAAAGGAACCAAATAGGTGGGCTGGATCTTGCTTACGTTTTTCAGTTTTGTGGTACTGGGGTTTGAACTTAGGGCCTCACACTTGCTAGGCAGGTGCTCTACCACTAGAGCTACCCCTCCAGCCCTTTTTTGCTTTAGTTATTTTTCAGGTAGGGTCTTGCATTCTTGCCCAGGCCAGCCTGAACTACAATCCCACCTATACCACCTGCCTAGCTGAGATCAGATTTGTACCAACACACCTCGCTTATTGGCTGAGATGGGGTCTCACTAACTTTTTGCCCCAGCTGGCCTGGATCCCAGTTCCACCCGATCCCTGCCTCCTGAGTAACTGGGATTATAGATGTGAGCCCACTATACGTGGCCTTCAGTATTATTTTTTAAACTATTAAAGCTGGACTCTGATACATTGTTGCAAAAGACCTAATCCAGAGTAAAGCACTTCACAATATTTTCACAAATACAAATTTTAGTAATAAGTACTTTCTACTCACTTCCACCAGAGGAAGCCACTGTTCTGCTGAGACACTGAGGTGCAGAAACTGCCTGTCGCTGGCACACTGGCGACTGCCAACCACGAGCGCCGCGGCCCCAAACACCTCACAGGTGCGGCACAGTCCTGCACAGAACAGCAACACAGGCCGGCTCACTGCATCCCTCTCTCCACTGAGGCCCTCCAGGAGGGCGACACATGGACACACCAAAGGGGGAGGAGAGGGACAGGAATTCCCAGGACCACCACCTGGAAAGCCATGACTTTACCTCCTAAGTTGGTCGGTTTGTCAATGAGCGAGGCCACCACAATCAGTCTGCTAACAGACTTTCCGAGCCTGGCTGCACGGTGCTGGAATCCGGGCTCCAGGTCCACGTCTGCACTGAGACCGCACGGGATGATCTTCCTCTGCACGTCAGCCCACTCAGGCTGGTCTTCTTCCTCACCCGGGTGAGATCCTGGAAGGAAGGGAAAAGAATCCATGCAAAAAGGAATCTGAGTCACTTCCCCACATTCACTCCCATCTCCATAGGCATTTTTAAGGGTTTAGATGGGGGGGGGGGTTACTGAGTTTGAACTCAGGGCCTGGGCAGATAGCATCTTTAGTTTTTGCCTGGGTGGGGACAGCTTCAGGTGGTGATCCTCCTACCCATGCCTCCCAGTAGCCGGGATTACAGGTGTGTACCACCCCACCCAGATTGTTGGTTAAAAACAGTCTCACTAACTTTTCACCCAGGCTGGCCTTGAACCATGATCCTTCCAATCTCAGCCTCTGAGTAGCTGGGATTATGCAACTGACTCAGAATGAGATTTATTTAACCACACGTTAACCGAAGAGCTGTGCTTGGATTCAAACATCACCACCATTTTTAATAGTAATTTTTAGTTTTCAAATTCAGCTCTACTAACCTATATATTAAGACATTTCATAAAAATAGAAAATGCACATTTTTTTTCACAGTTTAGCAGATCCAAAATTGTGAAGGAACTCAGAATCAACAGAATATCACAGCTTGTTAACATTTTTTCCTTAGAGGTAAATAAAATTATAACCAATAGTATGTCAGATTAGAATTTTTATGGAAATATATTCCTGAAAACAGTATCAACAAAATCTTTAAGTTATTTTACAAGCATGAAGGATTTTCTCTTAGCTAAACTGATGAACATCATTAACCTATGTATCTGTGGGGTCTGAGCTGTGACGAGGACTGAGACTCCCCCTCCTCAGCCCTGTTCTCCAAACTGAGCACCATACAACCAAGGAGCACTTGGTTTACTGGGAACAGACACGCACGTAACAGAGGGTCATCACAGAGGAAGGAAGAACTGGTGTCTGTAGGAGGGAGGAGCAAAGATTGAGCAGAGCAGACGGCAGATATGGCGCGTGCAGCATGGGATGTGGGAGGAAAATGACTCTGGAAGTAGTGGGAACCAGGCCTAGCTCCCGGTCTGGAATGGAATGGAGGGTGACAACAGGGACCAGGTCATCAGGGCTTTGCACGTGGTGATGAAGACAGGAGCCAGTGGAGACGGAGAGGTGCAGAGCAGTGCTAATGCTGAGTCTGACAGAACTCTGAAGCCGTGTGAGGACACTGGGCTGCGAGTCCACAAGAGGCTTCTGTACCCATCAGGTAAGGACCATGACAGTCTGAATTACATCAGGACCAGAGAACAGGAGGAGCTGGGTGTGGGGAGGCAAACCACCAAGGTCGGTTAGCAAGAGGACGAGTTGGTCTCAGGTGAGACTGGAATTGGAATCTGTGTTTTTAACATGCATCTCAATGATTTCCAAAAACGTGGAGCTCAGAAACACAGCACTAGGGGGCTGGTGCAGGGCTCGAAAGAGTGAGAAGAGTCAGAGTCGGAGGAAAAGCAGGGCAGCGAGAGACCAGCAAAGATGCTGTGGAAGGGGCAGGTGAAAGAGGAAGTGTGCCCACGTGGACTCTGCAGACATGGAGTCGGGAAAATCCCTGACTTTCTGAAAGCAGCCTTGGTGGCTGGAAGAACCAGAGGACAGACCATGAGGAAGAGCTAGTGGGAACAAAGGGCACCAGCACCAGCTGCTGAGGTGTGGAAATGGGGTGAGCTCGGGGCTGTTGAGGTGACTGGGAAGGGAGAAGGAGGGGAGCGAGCTGCAGAAGGGAGCCCAGCAGACAGAGATGGACCACAACCAAGAGTTCTGCTCTCCTTTGAAAGCAACAGAGATTTCAGTTTGGCCCTGAGAAAATTTCTATTTTTACAGACATATTCAGTAGAAAAGCAATGGACACTAGTTAGTAACGCTTCTTAAAAGAGAGAAGCCATTAGCTTTGTACAAAGCAGGCGCTCTACTACTTGAGCCACACCTCCAGTCCATTCTCCTGTGGTTATTTTGGAGATGGGGTCCCTTAAACTATTTGCCTGGGCTAGCATCCAACCATGATCCTCCTGATCTCTGCCTCCTGTGTAGCTAGAATTACAGGTGTGAGCCACCAGTGCCCAGCTTGTCTGGCTTTTTATAGCAAAGCTAACTTTCAATGAAAAGTCCTGCCTGAAGCCATCTCAGGTCTTTCTTATCTCTTCTTCTGCAAAGGCAGAGTGCCCAGGACAAGGAAAAAATGACCTGATCCACTACTTAAGTAACTGAAATCCCTAAGGCTCCCCAGGCTGCAGGGGCGGTGAGGCAAAGCTGGTCTTTACCTGCATCCTGCTGGGCCCAGTCCCAGGGCTCAGCACAGACAGTGGACTCTGAGGGAGGTACCACGGTGACGCTGCATCAGAAGGCACGTCTGTGAAGCTGACAAATTTACTGAGGGAAAGCCACTCTTCTTCAGCGACGCCCGAGAGCCGGGGAAGGGTGTGAAATATGGTCTGAAAAAGAGAAGTGTAAAGTCTAAGTTTCCCCTTAAAAACTGATGAAGAAATCTATGATGGCAGGTTAACAGTATTATTGAACTTTACTGACGTGTTCCCTTCCCCCAAGCCACCATGTGATCAAATTAGACACTCGTATCGTGCAGCAATTATCTGTGTATATTTCTCATTTAGGCAATCCCTGAGGTGGGGGCAGGTCCTTTATCTTTATGTAACGTCACTGGGCTCTGAGCAAAACAGCAAGGGGAGGCAAGGCTCTGAGTTCCAACCCCAGTACGCCAAAACAAACAAATGCAGGAAGTGCTCTGGAGGAACGAGTCATTTTTGATGAGGGACAAATTTAGGTAAAGACAATTTAATGACAACCAGACATCTCCACGAGCAATGAATTTAAGCTCTCTGATGTCAGGTCTTGCGCTCGCTACCATTAGGTAAGATCAGAATCTGGATCCTGGCTTGACTACATAATTAGCTGTATGGCCTTGTGAGCCATGCAGCCTTTCTTGGCTTTGACTCTTCATTTGTAAAGGCACTAAAGTCAGATTTCAACCACACGTGAACTGCATGAGTGACACCACTGTCATTACCTACACAGCCCTCTTTCTGTTACTTCCCACTAAAACACGGAGAGTCATAGGATGACCAACTGTGAAAACGTGTGTATGTCTCTCAGACTTAGAAGCCCTGGTAGTGAGCAATCTAACGAATGATAACCTTTGTGAAGTTTTTAGGGTGAATATGATTTTCTTCATGCTAGCCAAATTTGTGCAAAGTAAAATGGCAGAATGATTTGCAAGTAAATGTTTGTTTGGCTGACACCATTAACACCCATTTGCTACCTCAACACATCCAGTTCTGATTTATGTCTCTAATGGAGAACAAAATACAGAAAGGACAGAAATGAGGCAGTCAGAGGTGAGGGGGTGGGGAAGGAGCCAAGGACTCACTGCCTAGGGAACTGACGAGAGAGGAGAGCCAGGCAGCACTCCCAGAGCAGGGAACAGAGCACGCTAAATAAGTGAGAAATCCTACAGACGTATGGGCAGTGAAGCAGAAACTGCATTAATGTTCTGAGATACTGATCCCACAGTACGCAGATCTGTACTGTTCCCAAGTCAGGCTACGAGCAGCCCACAAACGAATTGCTGCGCATAGCAGCTAACGCTGATAATTAGAGTGCTTTAGAGGAAAAGTCCAGGTCAAATGCTTTAAATACCAAAGCAGCACACTATAACTGGAGTTGAGAAAGGAAGTATGCTGTATACAACTTTGATATTTATATAGTGCATTAATTTATATGAACTGCAACAAATGTGTTTATGGTTCTTAAAATATTAGCACACTCCATCACAGTCATAGAGGGGTGTCATTTTTACACAGTTTTTACTGCCCAGAACCTAAAAAACACCATTAGCAAGAGAGAGCTTTTTGTTCTTTCATCGACAATGGGCTTCAGTATAAAAAGTCTCACCTGCACAAATGTTCTCACTCACTTCCTTTCAGAAATCTGCTCTGATTTCTGTTTAGAGTTAAATATTCCCTTCCAGGGTTTACAAGCCAGACACTGCCAGAGAAATAGAAAGTGAAAATGACAAGCCAATTTTCACTGCTGAGGAGTGAGACGCAAGCAAGTCACCAGCACAAAGTGACAAAATTATACCGAGTACTTTACAGTTTAAGGGGACATTTGTCAGCAAGGAGAAAGCATCACCCTGGTCATCACCCCTCAACAACTGGGCCCAAAAAGGAGCATGGGTGGAGTGGAGAAATTCGGGATTCTCTGCTCACCTCCAGACAGTAATCCTTAAGCGGGTGAAATGCCGAGAAAAAGAAGTGCTCCTGGATGCGCTGCCAGTTCCTCTTGGCGTTCCTAGGATGGAGAGGGTGGAGTGAGGCGTGGATGGCGACTGGGCTGACTTCTTAAGAGGTGCTGCGCAGTTGAGAAGAGACGGGGGTGGGGTGAAGTCTATCCTGGATTTATGCATTCACATCACCAACACCGCTGTGCTGTGCAAACTGACCCTTATAAAATTTCATTTTATTTTTGGTAGCGTTCTTTTTCATAACTGGGGATTAAACCCAAGCCCTCACACATTCCAGGCTGGCCCACCAAATCTCACATTTTTAAATGGAAATCAAAGATGAAAAGAGAAATTAAGTAATTGCTTCAAGGTCCCCAAGAACCCAGTAACTCAGCAAGAAAACTCGGGCCTCAAGGCTTTGCGCACAGGTGTCCGTCCACTGCAGTGAGCGCAGAGGCTTCAGGCTGGCGCCCAGACAGTGCAGAGAAGCTCAGGTGAGTGCTGGGAAACCTCAAATTGGAGCCCCTCAGTCTCTGGCAGGGAAAGCCACTGCACTTCACTTCTGCTGCTCTAAGACCGGACACAACCAAACTACCTACTTTCATAGACCGAGCACCCTAAAGGAGCGGTTTCAATTCTGAACACATTTGTCAGATTTTACAGGCAAACGAGGTAGGGACAACACAGAAATGACAGCAATCCCAAAAGATCCTCAGCCCAAACCCAAGCAGCAGCCTTAGGACCTCCTTCCAGCAAGGCCATCCCTCTCTCACCACAGGGTCACTGCAGCAGGAGACAGAAGACCTGAGGTGTGGGCGCTTCCTGCTCCCCGCCTCCACCCTCCACCATCCTCATCCCCTCGCTTCCAACAACCTGTCTCCTGCAGGTGGGAGGTACCCAGATCAGCTCTGTGTCCCTCCTGGCACTTTGTCTGCCCACCCACCTCCTCCCTTCTTCTCTGTGCTCCTTTCCCTCAGATGTTCAAATAGGCTTTTAGGTTAAGCCTTAAGCAAACAAAACCCCACAAAGTGTCCACTTGGCCCCCATGAGCCCTGTCACAACTTATAATTGTTTGTTTTGTAGCATGTACTCACTGGGGGGGCCCACGGCAAGGCCCCCTGCAGGTTCCTGGTTTCCTAACACTACTTCACTGGTCTGATCAGCTGCTTGCTGCTTCTAGTCTTTTCCGTTTCCATGTATAAATTCCTGATGCTTTTTTGAGCATCTTGAAAAAAATGTTTTATGCTGGTTGATGGTGCCTAGGTCTCAGATTCACAAAAATCCCAGCAGCCGTAACAAGGAATAGAAGCAAAAGAAAGCAACCCACTGGAAACGTGTTCAGAGGCTCAGATGCCAAGAGAGGCTCAGGACACTGTGGCCTGGTGCTGCTGTGCTATGACAGGAGTGGGCCCAGGACAAGGTAGGAGCCCATTACCATGGGGCTGCACACCCCCCCCAAACCCAGCAGCAGCCTCTGCCTGCTCAGCACTGAGTTTCTGGGTAAGAGGACGTCTGTGGAGTGGAGCAGCCACCTCAGACAAGGGAAGGCACAGGTCCTGCGGCCTCTGCTGCAACAGTGAGAGTTCGGTAACTAGCAGTCACTTCACAACAGTGAAGTAACAACTGAGGGTCATCAGCAACGTCAGGGTAAGGTCAGGAGAGAGCCAGAAGCACCGTAACACCACAGTAGGCCACTGGCACCGGGCCTCACCCAAGTGCTCTGCACCCCGAGTGATGGCACAATGACACACAGGTGACCAGGCCAGTGCCCCCTCACTCCTCCAGGCTCTGCTGGAGGAAGGGAGAGCTGCAGGACATCCTACCCTGCTCCATGCATGCTCTCCGCTTGGCTGAGGCTGCCCTCAATCACTTTAGTCCACGCATCACACTCTTCCACACACAATGCTTTGCACATGTGCCAGACTTTCTTGAGAGCAACCAGCGCGTACAACCGAACACTGAAGTTGTGGCTGAGACACCACTGCAGCGTGACGATCAGGGCCTGCTTCAGCACCGGCTTCTGTAAAAAGACGGACAGACTCCTCACCATGGTCCAGCCAAGGACCCGCCCCCGACTGTGTGCAAACAGTGAACAAATGGCCAGTCACGACGGACAGCTCCATCCCGCTGGCTTGGACAAACCAGGTAAAGAAAGATTCTCTAGGCTCTTCGTTTTCACGACTGCCCCCACTCTCTTGCCTCGGCTGGTCTGGATGAAGTGTCTGTATGCCAATCTTACACAGCCACAATGTTCTAGAAACACGACCCCAGCTCTTGTTACCTAACCTGGGCTGAAACAGTTCAGATTTTCTGCAGGAGCCCCTTCTGGTGACCTTGAAGGAGTTGCTAAGCAACGCAGCACACTCTACACCACCCTCCCTCCACCGACTGAGCTCCTGGCCTCCTGTTGGTTACCCTGGCCTCACAGCCTCGAGGAGAGGCAGCAAAATGAACCAAGTGCAGAGAGAATAAAATGGTTTAAACACCCCCATGGTCTTTTCCTGTGAACCCGGTCTTGCAGTCTGGGGACTTAATACAATAAATTTCCCTAACTTCTGAAATCACACTGTTCAACAGACTTGAAGGTCACAGGAAGTGACATATATTAATGTGATCCTTTATCGCAGTGTGCAAAACTCCCCCAAAACCTGCTCTCACCAAAGCCTGTCCTCTTCCCCCACCTCCAGCCAGGTGCTTAGGTATGTTCTAGAAACTGAAAACAGTGAACCACAACAGCCAAGTGTCATTAGAAGATAAATCTGAAGATGAGCGACTCAGGCAAGGCTGGGCACAGCAGCTCATGACTAATCCTAGACACCTGGGAGGTGTGGATTAGAAGGATCAAGTTTGAGGCCAGCCTACACAAAAAATTAGGGAGACTCCATCTCAACAAAAAAGCCAGGCATGGTGGCACATGCTGGTGATCCCAGCTACTCGGGAGGTGGAGGCAGGAGGAAGGGGTAGGAGGATCATGGTGAGAAGCTGGCCCAGGCAGAAGTGAGACCCTATTAAAAATAACTAAAGCAAAAAGGGCCAGGGCATGACTCAAGTGCAGGGCACCTGCCTAGCAAGTGTGAGCCCTGAGTTCAAACTCCAGTACTACCAGACAGAGAGAGAGAGAGAAGGGGAGGGGGACAGAGAGAGATGCAATAGCCCTTCACCACATGATCCAGCTCACGGTGACATCCTGACATAAGTCACTGCTACCTGTACCATAAAACACCCCACGTGTCACGCACAGAATCTTACGTACATTACTTTAAATGTGCACAATTTGACAGCATGGGTTTTATCCTCCCAGTTTCACATTAGACAACTAATGTGAAGAGAGGCAAGCCTGAATTCTCTTAGCAATTCTGTTAGTTGTCCCAACTACAACACGTCAACAACAGGACTCTTGATTCCCCCATGTCCTACCTGGGCCTCCCTCTGTGCCCATCGCTCCACCCTTGGGTAATGAGGCCATTTTCACCAGGGGCTGCACCTGCCCTAGACTCCAGCACAGCCAGCTTGCTCACTGGCTGCTTTCAGGCTGCTTGCAATCAACCATCTCCTTGGATGGGTGCTCCCACAACACCGCCCAACACCAATGAGTTTCTCTGCATGACCATTTGTAGCATAACTCCACGTAGTCACAGAATGCAGTAAGGCAAATCCTTTTTAAATAATCCCAAGTACACACACTTGTAGACAATTAAAACTCATTTCTATCACCACGAACTGCTCACTGATGTGTATTCAGTGTACTTTCAAGTGGAGTGTCTCACTGCCCATTGTGTCTGATGCACACTGGGCACAGGGAAAGGGAAGGAAAAAACTGCAAAAAAAAAAAAAAATACAAGGAACACCCTTCATTTAAAATTGTATGTACAAATGTATACAACGCCTTTTATGAAACTCAAGTTTAAACTCTTCTTACAAAGAGTTCAAACTCACCTTTTCTGGAATATTTTCAATGATGATGTCCAAATGTGGTAAGACAGATAAAAATGTACAGACACTCGTTTTCAGTCTTTCTTCACCCTGAAACAGAATGCGATAAATGAATATTCATTGCAGGCTTACTCTGAGTTCAGCACTTGTAAGGAACCCTGCTGGACTCTTCCCTGAGGAAGCCAAGGCCTGTGGGGCACAGGACACCCAAAAGCAAGAAAGGAGAGGAGTTCACTGGCGCCAAATGCAGGTCAAATACTGCACCGAACCACCTGTTACGCACACATGCTAAAGCGCCCAGGAAAGCCAGGCACATTCCCTTGAGAAGAGGCCCAGCATACAGTGTGGGAAGGACTGGATTGGGGAAGGAGCAGACGCAGTGAGGCAGTCAGAGGAGAGAGCAGGTGAAAACGAACAAGACAGACACAGGACACCAAGGCAAAGATAAGCCAGAGGCTGCAAGAGGTGACAGGCAACGTGATAGGGATGACAGCGAAGGCCTCAGCAATAGAGCTGTCCTGTTACAGACTTCAGAAAGCTGTGATGCAAAGTATGCAAGAGTCAAACTGGAATTTGGGAGACCCCTCGGACAATTTGAATTGGACAATTCCCACTGAGGTGGGAGGGCCAATGAGGGAACCTCCAAGAGGTGAGTCAGATGATGAATTCCTTCATCTAATATGTGACAGGTTCTGTGGAAACTAGGAAGGCAGGAGTAGACATGGATCCTGCTCTCAGGGAACAGAAAACCTTGGGGTTTTGGGGAGCAACAATCAAATCAGATTAAAGTTCTAACTATGAGAAACTAACACAAGGGGATTCAAATACTTGAGGAGGCACATTCCCTGGGAAGAAACTGTATACTGAGAGCTAACGGGATGAAGAGAGGCTTCCATTATTCCTAGGGAACAGAGCCTCTACTGAGGCCCTGCGCAGGCCCCTCCCACCTCAGGAGCTGGTCATGTGACTTGTCTTGGCAATCAGATCTTTCAAGCCTGTTGTAGCAGAGACTGGATGGCAGGTACCTGGGCCCTGCACTGCACTCTCCCTCCGTGAACCCTGAGCCACCACACAGAGATGGCAACATGTGGGCCGTGCCAACCACAGAGCTGTTCTTGCCACTGCAGCTGAGGGACAAATGTGGGAGTGAAGACACCACTGAAGTCCCAGCCCAGCAACACCTGAAGCACAAGTACCTGGCCAGGGCCATCAACCCAGAGAATCGCAAGCAGTGACACCCGCAGCTCCTGTGCCACTTGACGTGCAGAGTTCCAGCAACAGAAAACTGGGACGGTCTGCGTGACCAGTGCAGGTGTGGGCCAGGACACACACGCAGGAAGCCTGCACCACATTCTGGCCCCATCACTAATCTTAGTACAGCTCCTGAAAGGTGACACTTTTTTTTCTTTTTGTGGAACTAGGGCTTAAACTCAGGGTCTTCACCTTGATGGGGTTTTTTTGATAGGGTCTCACGAACTATTTGCTGGGCTGACTTTGAACCATGATCCTGCTGCTCTCTGCCTCCTGAGTAGCTAGGACTGCAAGCATGAGCCTCCGGTGCCCAGCATGAAAGGCGATTCTTGTGATAGGAGAAATGCTGGGGAGGGCGAGATGGGAGTGGTGAGGGGAGGGGACGGGACAAGGGGACATGGTGGGATGGTCCACACTTGTGCTTGGTCAGGTGACGGGGCTCCCTTCTGTGGTCTCTACTTTGGTTATGTTTGAAATTTCTCTACTAAAAGGTTTTTTTTTGTTGTTGTTTTAAAATGGGAAATGCATTTAATTCCTCATTTTTAATTCTAAAATTAAAAAAAAGACATGGTAATAGCATCCATTCTCATTTCTTTTCTGTTTTTTTTTCAGTGCTAGAGGCTGAACCTAGGCAAGCACTGTCTCACTTGAGCCATGGTCCCCATCCTTTTGTTATTTACACTACTTTTGCCCAGGCTGGTCTCAAACTCTCAGTCCTCCTGTTTCTGCCTCCAGAGGCAGAGTAGCTGGGATTATAAGTATGCACTACCACACCTGACTTGTGTTCTGGGTTTTTGAGGCAAGATCTCACCATGTAGCTCAAGATGGCCCTGAACTCATCATCTTCCTCAGCCTCCCCTGCGCTGAGGTTGCACCACCATGTTGAGCTTCCTTTACTTCTCAACAATAAAGGATTTTCCATCTTTATTTTGTTGGAATTAGAATAGCTCTCAAATAAAAACTACGATACACTCATGCAGGAGTTTATCTTCTAAAATAATTCAAAACTTGCAAATGTAATTTATTCTGTCAACACATTAGGGCAGCTGAGAGTCAGAAACAGCTTCTGAAGTGGAGTCAACCTCCTAGCAAGTCAAAATCATCTCCCAGTTTAAAACAATTTAAAAAAAATCTCCTTTACTTACAAAAGAAAAACAATCCCAGAACTTGGGAAGAAGCCGTGGGAACTTATGCAGCATCAAAATGATGACCCACTCTATAAAATATTTTATGGAAGCTTGATTGTTGGTGAAGCCAGCCTGAAAAATCTTGTCAATAATTCCATTCGAGAAGTGCTAAGAAAAACAAAGTTCGTGAATTCAACTGTTAATATGCTGTTAATTTTAATTAAAACGCATTAATTTAAATTTTTTAAAAGATCCCCATTTTAGTTCTATCTTAACTGATCCATGGAATCTAGAACTCTCCAGGCAAAGACTGGAGAAAGTGATTGAACTGTTCTTGTTGAGCACGTCACGACTACGTGGATATCAGTTCCATGAGGAAGGGTTGTTTCCCTGTTTTCATAGGGAAAGGGAAACACCACAGAGGGTGAGTAACTTCCCCGAGACTTGGGGTGAGAAGATCCACCACAAAGCACAATGGCTCTGTCCCAGGAGCTACAAATCACCTGCCTTCCCGAGGACAGATAGTCCAAGCCTACACCCCAAACAACAGGGCTGTGACAAGGAGGGAGCAAGCAGCTGCATTTTCTAATCAAAGGGCATATGACACTTTAAACACTGAAAATGTTTATGTTATAATATTTAAGGAAAAAATATGGGGTGAGGCCACAATAGCAGCATCTGAAGTATTTCTACAATACCTAACTGTCTTAGCAGTCTCTCTGTAAGAAAAAGACTTAATACCTTCTATTTTATGCACTGAAGTAAACATTGAAGTAGACTACCTTCTCAATTTTTTTCTTTTGGCAGTACTGGGGCTGAACTCAGGGCCTCATGTTTGCTAGGCAGGCATTCTCCCACTTGAGCCACGGCCCCAGGCCCATCTCAATTTTAAGAAAGTACAAGTTTCTACAAAACAGTTTATTCATATGAAGCCCTATGCTGAATAGCTGTATCATAGCCACACACCTGGTCAAATCTGGGGAAAAGGACAAGCAGCGTCTGCCAGATCCGGTTCTTCACCCGGTGCTGTAGAGAGTTCTCATAGTACCGAGTTCTGGACTTGGACACCAACTCGTCCTAGAGGGATGGGAATGCAATCAGTGTTAAGGTCCCAAAGATTTAAACTGAGCACAGGGTCTTTTGTCTGCCCCAAAGCAGCTACGAGCATAAGACAGATAAGGAGTGATACCTTTTTAAATATCTTTTCAAAACACTGAATTTGATTGCTTTAAGTTTTTTTTTAATTAGATAAAAGAACCATGGAATTGGGAGATACGGGTCACTTAACAGGGGAGAGGAGCGTGAGATAAGTGACACATATTACAGTGCGTCAATAGAGGGACTTCTCATTTTATTTCCCTTTGTCCTATCCGTGTGGAATAACCTATCTGCAATTTGATCCAGAGGAAGAAGGCACCCAACAGGTGGACAGTGCAATGCTGCCTCCAAACAGAAGGTGGCAGCAACAAGCCTTTCTGCACTAGCAGAGAGCAGTTGTGGTCCCTGCTTCCTAAATTCAGCCTCCTGCAAAGTTTTGTCTGTCTGTCTGTGGTCTGGGGACTGACCCCAGGGCCTCCTGCATGCTAGGTGAGCGCTCCACCACTGAGCCACACCTCAGCTCCTCAAGGTTGACTTCTGTCACCATAACCCTTCAAGTTCTGCCTCCTGAGCCAAGAAGGCACGCAAGAGCGCTGACGTTCTCAAATGGCTGCAAGGTGAAAAAGCCACGCATTGGCCATTGTCATCTGATGTGCGAGTGGCCCTCCTCGCCCTGACGACTTCCCTAACCTTCTGTATCTGAGTGTGTGTAAAACATCATCGTCTCAGCTAAACGAATACAGAGCTAAAGATACCTGACAATGATTAAAAGCTCACAACCTCCTTGATCATCAGGATTCCTTTTGGGAAATTTTCTTCTGATGTATGTAACTTTAGGTTTCCTGCATTTCTCAGCTTCAGCACAACTAAAGCTGAAATCACTAGGGTTGACCATCTTGCATTCAGAAGCACCTCCACGCCATCAGGCCTCCCGTCAGCGCCCTCATCTGAAAGTGCTGAAATTCCCTCTGCTCAGTCTTCCATTCTGTCCTTGTTTCCCACCTCTGTCCTTCAGACAGATCTTTCTTTTCTCTACTCACCTATCAATTCTCTCCTATTTTCATAAGCCTCCTCATCCAACCTGCACCCCTGGAATAATCTCCACACTTCCTTCAAGAGCACAAAGTACTTCCTAGGGTTTTGTTTGTTTTTGGTTTTCTTTTGGTGATGCTGGGATTCAAACCCGGGCCAGTTTTATGTAACAAAGCTTCAGTGAACAGTGATGCAGGTGGTTCCTACGATTACTCAAGTGTCCAAGATCAGACGCAGAGTGAGCACTCCGTCCATCTCAAGTTCCTCTGAAAGGGAAGGGAGTTATGCACTTGGCTCTGCTCCTTTCTGTCTTCTCCTTAGATTTAATACACCCATTATCCAGACACTATAATGTCCCTTTATAAATGATCTAGGAGACCCAAAAAATCTAACTGATTATTTTCATCTGAGTGAAGAACGAATTTTCATCAATCTTACACAAGTATCACCAACCCAACCTAGACCTATACCAGAAGCCAATCCTGAGGACGAGTCTTCACAGTTTGCCACCTCCTGGACTGTCCCTACTTGTCCTACTTCCTATATAAAACAGAGCCTGGATGTGGCACTATACACATCTCAGGCCTGGACTGGCGTGGAGAACCACAGGGAAGGTTAGAGGCCCAGGGACCCAAACCCAAGCCAGCCAGCTATTGCCAAGACTGAACTGAAATACAGAACACCAACTTCTTGTCTTCTCCTGGTAAAAAAATATCTAGAAAGACAAGTTCTAGTGACAGACAGAGCAGATGCAGGGTTCTGACTTGTTAAAAACAAAGGTAATTTAAATGAAAAGAGGTAGTTACTTTATCCAACAGCTTGAGTGTGAGATCTTCCAAAAACAGCTTGTGGGGAATGTTCGAACCATCTAATAAACACAAGAATTTGATGGCACAAATCCTCACGTAACAGTCTTCTCTTTTACTACTAAAAAATATAAAATGATAAGCTATGTTAGCACATTTTTTAAAACAAATCAACTATTAGTTTCAAAAATACCACAAATACCATGTCTTCCCTAGACTTGTCTAACATCAAGTAGCTCCATACTTAGTGGCAATACTTTTAAACTCAGAACAGAGAGCAGAGGACATCAATGACCACATTACAAGGAGAGCACGTGCAGACAGCGTGAGCGAGCACAAATTCACCGAGGCCTCTGGAGACAAAACTACTGGTCCCGGTCGATCCCATCTTATCTGAGGACAGAACAGCCCCCAGCTCAGGAGAGGACCAAGGAAACTTCTGCCCACTGTGGGCAGGATGCCACCATAAAACACAACAGCTTGTCTTTACCACGTGCCACAAACATATTCTCCAGAAGCGCTGTGTGCTCTGGACACCCAGCGTGTCCAGCATCCAAATATGGAGAGAGAAATTGAGCTTGTGAAGCAGTACTTCCATGTTTCACTTTTAACTGTCACAATGCAAATGTTACTTTAATTCACAACAAAGCGTTTGACTAGTAGAAATCACAGTATTTGGGAACCATTCACTAGAAAATGTCACTTTTATGGCTACACTACACCAGCCAAAGAAAACAGATGACAATTAACAATGAAAATAATGCATAATTTAATGAACACTGGCAGATGAGTTGAAACAGCTAGCACTCAGAATAATAAACAATTTGCTTATAACTCCACACAACAATCCTTTGATGTCTAAACTCTAAAACCAGAGCAAATGACACAATACTCTTTTTATCTCCTTTGTAAATACAAACACACCCATTTGTGAAAGCTATGTGGAAAAATAAAACTTGAGTAAAAGGTATTAGTCAAGCTTTAAAAATATCACCTAAAAGGTTAGATAAGAGCAGTCTTTTCCCAGAAATCAAATCCTTACAGCCTGCCCCAAATGCACTGACCACAGATAGCTTTGTACATGTCAACTGTGCATCAACAGAGGGCTAAAGAACAAAAAACGCAAGGCTTTTCCAAGAGTAATTCTATTTTTGTGTATTACGTATCGATTTGTTAAGATGGTGACTATTTTACAACCATTAAAAGCCTGGAATACAGCGTTTGTGCTGGTGGACATCCTTCCCCCAAAGGGCAGTGGGGGCTGGCTATCCTCAAGGCCATTCCTTATTTATGTTTTTACAGTTTATTAAATCTTAGAAAATGGTGAAAGGTGTAAAGAAAATACACTAGCAAGGAATATAATTTCTAATGTATTTTTGAAGGCTTGCTCTATATTGTAACAGAAATCCCTACTAAACATTTATTAAATCTGACAAATACAGAGTATCTGTCATTTGACATTAAGTCTGGAATATCTCATTTATGTCGAGACACGAGAAACTGACCACACTTACTTTTCCAAAACAACGTTGGCCGCACAGTTGTGTCCGAGATTTTCTATGAAGGCCTGAACATCCTGGATAAGTCTTTCCATGAAAAAATTTGAAAAAGAGCAAGTTTAGATGGGAAGAAAATTAAATCTCCACCGTGAGCTAATACTTTATACTCTTCTCATGGAAGGCTTTCAAAGCAGACATAATTCTTCCCAAGTACAAGTTGAAATAACAGCGTTTTACCTCTGATCACGCCGAAACACAGGTCCAAACACACAGGCCTCCAGGACAAGTTCGCTGTAATCCTGAGCACCTGACAAAGACCGCTGGGGTCTGCTGGGAGCAGACACCATCCAAGACCGGCAGCAGTGACTTATCAGTATATTGAAGACCCCTGTTTTTATGGCAGACATTTCAACTACTTTGTACATAATCTGGAATGAAATACAACACTCACGTTATCCTCCCACCAACCTAATTTAAAAAAATCAGTGCTGCTAAAAATTGCTTCTTGAACAACTTCAAATGGTGCTTTCAACGAGGCTGTGAGTAGTCAAAAACTGAAATTCACACTGTTAGAATGACTGCAAGATGACTGACAATCACAGAAAGCACTTTTCATTTCTGATAATAAAGACAAAGACAGTGTTGCTGGGAGTGATGAGCATTCAGAACGGCAGAAGAGTGAAGAGGAACACTTCACTGGGCATTTCAGTTTTCTCTGCATTTTGCCAGGGCCTCCTTTCACCCAAGGCGTCAAGACCACAGACTACAGGCACCCGAGGTACAAGGACCACAGTGTGTAGGCACCCAAGACAGACAAGAACCAGTGTCTGGACACCGGGGCAGATGAGGAGCACATGGTCCCAGGCACCTGGACACCCGGGCAGATAAGGAACACGGTCCCGAGGCACCTGGGGCAGCACAGGCTGAGGGTACAGAACTGGGCTTTGTGTTTCTTGCGTTGGTCGGGATGTGTGGCTCTGTGGTGGGGGTGGGGTCAGATGCTCAAGCCCTCATAGAAAGGCACAGAATTTGCATGCAGGTAACCTTTGCACTTTCACTCCCCCCACACACTTTCGGTCTAACCTAATCTAGTGTAAACTCCATGTCAGGAGTTGTTACCGCGTGGCTCAGAGAGCAATGACAAGGAAAACCTGCACATACTCCATACAGATGCAGGTTTCTTCCCTAGCATTCCCATCTATGGGTGGGCAACCCGCAGGTGTGGAGGACTGACCAACTCCAGAACAAGAAAGCTGCCATTAATACTTTCTCTACATAAGGAAAACTAAAAAGCCCAGCATAAATGTAGAGGCAGATGGGGCTCTCAGACTCTGGTGGAAGCCAGACCAGCTGTGGCAGAGACATGGCAGAGGGTGACAGCCCCGCTCGATCCCAGGCCCCACTGTCCTTGGGAAATCACTAACTTTCCCAGAGAGGGGAAATCCTGGTTTTCATGCAGAGTTCTCAGTTCTTAGGTTGCCAACTAACTCGTGACTTCAGACGTTGTCTGAACTAAAAAAACCTGGCGAGCAGGCATGAGTCGGGCTCCTACCCAGTGCATCTTCTGCAGTCACTAGATTTCTGGTTCTTACTCATGACAGTTGAGGGTTCAAGAATATGTGCTGACTGAGTGAAAAACCTGGTCAGGTGCAATGGCTCATGGCTGTAATCCCAGCTACTCAGGATGTGCAGATTGGAACACCCCATCTTGATAAGTAAGTTGGGTATAGTAGTACTGATGTTTATAATCCCAGCTACACAGAAGGCCACAGGTAGGAGGACCATAGCAAAGGTGGGTCCCAGAAAAAAACATGAGGCCCTTTCTGGAAAATAACTAAAGCAAAAAAAAATCACTGGGGCATGGCTCCATGGAGGGAGAGCACCTGATTAGCAAGCACAAGGCCCTGAGTTCACAACAATAAAAGCAAACCTAACCCCTACCTACAAGCGTAGTCCTCCTTCTTCCCATACCACAGGTCATTTTCGAAAAGGAAAATGAAATTACCTCTTTTATTTTCAAATATGCCTGGCCCTTGACTTTTGCAGCAATGGTAAGAACTTTGTTATCGAAAACAAACTGAACGAAAGCTTTAAAGTTAGGCCAGAACGTCAACTGAGTGTTGCTCAAAGAAGACGTGATTTTCCAAGCCATGTCAAAAGACTCTGTGCAGAGTGACTCAGAGGAGGTCAGGAGCTGGCAGGAAAGGAAGAGATGCACACTTGTCACTTAACCTCGGAGACTCAGGTGCCACTCCATGCCGTCCGCACCCCTCCCCCCCCATTCCCGCCTCCCTGCGCCTCACCTTGGGAACCAGCACCTTCATGCAGCGGAACACAGGCAGGACCCGGTCAGCAGGGAGGATGGCCAGGGCATCCAGTGCTGACTGCAGGGTGTGCCCCGGCATCTGGACAGCGGGGAGGTAGGGCTCCAGAGCGCCACTTTCGGGGGCGGGGATGAGGGTGTGGTATCTTCTCAGCAGGAAGGAGAGGCAGACCCACTGGCTGTGGATATACTGTGCAACGATCTTCCCCCATCCTTGGGAAAGATTGACGATTCTTCAAAAACACTGAAGTGAAGAAGAAAGTTGCTCTGAAATCTGCTCCCCTTCTGTCACATGCAGCACACAGCCTTCTAAAGAAGGGAGATGCTGTGGTTTGACTGTGTGGGTCTGTCCCCAGCAGACCCCATGTGGGGGACAGTGCTGGGCAGTGCTGGGCAGGGGTGGGGGGGTACCGAGTCCTGGGAGGAGACCTCGTGGAAGGATTAATTAATGCTCTTCTTGCCTCATGAGTGAGTGCTTCCCTCTGGAGGACTGACCGAGGTGGGCTGAGCGAGGCTGTCCCTTGCTCTCCCATCAATATGACTTCCCCACAGGAAGTCAGGCAGCACAAGGCCCTCACCAGGAGCCCAAGCAGATGCTGGCGCCTTGCCCTTGGACTTTCCACCCTCCAGAACTGTAAGCCAAAACAAACCCCTCTTCTTTATAAACTACCCAGTCTCAGGTGTTTCATTACAGCAAACAGAAAAGTGACAACAGATAGAAACTGTCACTATCAAATATTCTCTCTACCATAACAGAAGGTAATCTCATAAACCTCCATTTTTAACTACTGTGAAGTAGGCGCTGTCACAACCTTAAATGAGTCACTGAAAACCAGTGCAGAAAAAGCAGGTTTCTGACAAGAGATGAAAAATGTGTAACATCCTTTCATTTAAATGAAGCCTCATTTTCTACACTCCATCAGTCCATGGGGATCACCAACCACCGCAATGGCAAAAAAAAAAAAGACGACCCCCCACAGGTGTTCCAACCCTTGACAGCAAAAGATGCCTGTCGCCTACCTCCCCTGTGGGGATGAACGCACCTGCTTGTGCTCCTGGCAGCGGCTTCTGCAGCATCTGATTAAATGGAAATGCAGAGAGAAACCTGTCCACAGGCCCAGCATCGAGAGAATCCGGCTGCAACACAGGCTGCTGGTCAATGGCCTCACACACCGCAGCCAGGGTGGCCATGCTGACCACTCTTCTGGACTGATCACCAAGCGTCAGCTCCTGAAGGACACAGAGCAACCTTTCACCTAGCAGCAAGTCTCAGCCTGTGGGGACCTGAGCTGCCAGCCCGTGAAACCTCACTTATAATTGTGACACCAAGAGTTATTACACTTGCACTTTCCTCTCTCCTTTTTCAAATCCCAATGGTGTTGAAATATTAACCAGTCTTCTCTACAATTTCCTTTTAGGACAGTTCTTGAGAAACCACTCTACAAATTATATTATTTAAGCCACCAAACTGTTTTTATTAGTAGCCCAGACTAAGTTAGACCACAGTGCAATTCAACTATATTAAATGGTTACCATGCACTAAAAAATAGCTAACACCGAGGACTTCACGTGACATATTCAACATATACGCACTGGCTTCAATCCTGCATCACCCCAATACACCCCACCTTGCAGGTGAAATAACGGGGAACAGGGAGAAATACAAAGGCACACAGTTCACAAGGAAGAAGCCAGGATCCAAACCCAGGAGTCCGCTCGGAAGCCTGCATACTTCACTACCATGCCCTACAGTGTTCCCTTTAAGAAACGCCTGCAGGCGCTAAAATCTAGTGGAGAACACATGTAATACATGAAGCCCTCAAACGGGAAAGATGGAAGTAACACGGAAATGGAGATGACACAGAGCGTGAGGAGGCGTGCACCTGCAAGAGAGCACAGGTCCCACACCCACAAGGTGCCTGCAGGCGGGAGCACTCTGGAAGGACACCTCCCTGAGGAGGGATGACAGACAGGTGCTGTGACAGAACCTCCACAGGTCACCTGGGGGTGCAGCATAGTGCATGTGGGAACAGGAAGGGCAGCGGGTGATTAGGCTGGAAACTGAGGCAGGAGGCTGAGCGTGGAGGGCTCTGACGTCAGGCTGACGAAAGGTCCCATACTGGCGAATGTGCGTGGAAGACCTAGGACAAGCCTCTGTCTGTGATTTTGAGACTGCTTAATACTGTCATAGGTGTCCCAAGCCTACTCTCTCAGTGCCACAACCTACGGGACTGCTCTAACAATTACATGTCAGCAAGTGCTTTTTTTAGGATTTCAAAATATCGCATACCAAACAAAATGTGTTCCCTGTACGTCTCAGTCAACATAAATGCACATGTGGGTCCAAGAGGATTACCTGCCCATTGTCTGACTCCTGAAGATGCTGAATGGATGTTTTTGCAAAAGGAGAAATAAACTCTGCAAATGGGGTTCCCCCTTTTCCAGGCCCATCTTCACATGCAGATTTGTGAGCTCAGTGAACACCATCAGGTACAACTGACAGCGATCCAGATCTGCAATCTGAGACAAACGCCAGGACATGTCAGGTCACAACGACAAGTTCAGGCAGGAAAGGAAACAGTTTATTTAAAAGTGCTAAAACAAGACCCTGATGGGAGAGTCATGCCCTCCGTCTCCATGCAGGCCTCAGGACACCCTCCTCGGCTCGCGCAGCACAGTCACAACACATTTCCTAGTCAGTGGACCCTCTGTTCTCTGCCCTTCGCAGGAGGACCTTGGCACAGAAGCTACGCTCCATCAGCTCCCACACCAGCGCTGGAAACATCACGAAGAGTAACGACAGCATCTGAGCCATCACCACTCCTTGTTTACGTCCTCATAGGAAGGTTACCGTCCAGCTTTCAAAGTAAGAAAACTAAGTTCTACGGAGGTTTAAACAATCTGCCCACATCTCGGGGCAAACAGGTATGCTGGGGGGGAGATTCAACACAAGTCTTACTGACTCATAAATCCAAAAGAACAGGTTCAATACCACCCTACCATTCACTAAATTGTGACCTAGGGCAAATTACTTAATCTCTTTTGGCCTCAGATCTTCACCCATAAAATGGAGATAGTGATATATATCACAGGGTTTTTGAAAGAGCGTAAGAGAGAATACAAGACTGGCCTTCTGGTTACATGACCAAACAGATTATTGACCCCATAGGAGGCCTCCTGAGACACACAGAAAGTAAATGCATTTACCTAATCTGGCTATGCTGAGCCGCACCTCCAGCCAGGCACTCTGCCAAGGGGCCAGGCACAGTGGACAGAAGGTAACAAACCCGAAGCACACGTGACAGAGAACACCAGTGAGTACCGTGAAGTGAGGTGAGAGAGATGAGAGCCAAAGGCACCTATGTTTTTGCTCGCGAAACTAGCTAGAAAGGTGCAACAGCCCTAGGAAGGAACATGGAGAAGCAGGAATGATGACAGCGGCTCCATTTTTAAGACAGGTTTGTATGAGAATCTCAACTTGAGTAAAAATGGCTCAGAAGAGCAGAGGGTGGAGGTGAGTGACAGCCTCCTGAGTAACTGAAGCCAGGATCAGAAGGAGTCACTGGGAAAGAAGAGGGGTGAGGAAAGAAGGGGAGAAAGGAAGGGCCAGCATCAAGCTTTAAGAGCCCCGGGTTCCAAGGTCAGACAGCAGAGAGTGGACATCCCAAGGAAGAGATGGAACTGATGAAGAGCCAAGGGGATGTCGGGGAGGAATTACAGAAGTAATTCAGGGGAGGCTGGTCAATAGTGTCCCCTGAGCCGAGATCAGGAACAATACAGGGTAGGGATATGTCTCTAGGTTTATGACAAAAGAGTCAGCAAACTACTTCAGAAGAGCGCTTGCTGTCACGGGTGAATAAAAGTGAGATCAGAGCAGGGCTGCTGACACATCAGCTCCTGAGTTCAAGCCCCAATGCTGCCCCAAAAAAGAGACTTAAAGGAGCTAAAGAAACACTCCCCACTCCAAAGGTGTCTCCTCTGCACCTCTCCTTGCCTTCCTACCATAAATCCTCAAGTCCTTCCAGTAAAACGCATCCTCTACACTTTTACACACCTGCTCAAGCTACCATAGTTACGTTCTTAATTGGGCTTTCCAAAAAAGACATTCTTT